AGAATAATAAATCAGGAAAGATTATTATAAATAGATTGCTTATGCTGAAGCCTAGAGCTCAGAAAACAGCCTCAAGCCACCTGATTCCTTAAGGATGATAAAGCTAGTTTTCCACTCTCATCTCTCACACTATCAGACAAATGCTTGTATGTGCAATAGGAGAAAAAAAATGTTACAAGTCTGCTCAAAGCTTTGTTGCTATTTCACTGACTGCAGAATGAATTCACATCCTCACATTTAACAATAACTTTTAAAATGTTCTTTAAGGATGCTTTCTGCATTCTTGAAAAGGTCCTGAAATTCTTACAAATTTTAATTTAACTGGAAATGCACTATGCCATTTTCCTATCTTTTCAAGGCCCTGGACCAGATTTTGTCTTCAAGTTCTTGAGGTTAAATCCTACTTGGAGCACATATGTTCCTATTTCACACAAGTTCTCTAATCCCACAGCATCTGACTCTTCAAAGCCTTGGAATCTCAGTTCCCTCATGGTACTCTCCTGGAATTCAAGTTCTAGGATAACGTACTTTTTCTTTGGAGGAGAGATCATCCTGCCCACTTACACCCTGGAAAGAGAGAGTCTCATTATTTTCTACACTTTTCTCTTCAATTTTTCATTTATTAATAGACTTCGTAACTTATTTATGCTTTTTGAGACAGAATCTCACTCTGTAGCCCAGGCTGGCCTTAAATTCACTACAATCCTCCTGCCTCAGCTTTTCCCATTACACCCATATTTTCTCCATAACGTTACATGCTGGTATATGGAGATGCTTCTAAATAAAAGCAAACTGTTGAAACAAATAAACTTTATGCTCAAGACCCATCTTTTATAATAACGTTCTCCATTTAAATTTTCTTTACCATAAAGCATTTAAATTTACAACAGAGCAATCATTTTCTAAGTAAAATAAATCTGTAGGTGTGATGAAGGAAAAAGAATCTCTGTTTTTGTTTGTTTGCTTTTTTGTGCAAAATTCAGATGAATGCATTACTAAGAATTAAATCACAAATTTTGCAAAAGCAGTCAAGCTGGTATTTTGGGCAATGGGCTACTGTTTAATTTGCAATTACATGCACAATTTAGAAACCACTTTAAGATAATTTAGCCTCAGGAGGATCACTAACATAACCTCTCCCATAAAGCACAATTCCAACTGGGAAAGGAAGAACATACAGAATAATTTAATAGAAAATAAGGATCTTGAATTTAGGGTACTAATCTCCCAAACTGAGCAAAGTACTTAGTTTCAAATTTGTGGAACATATTGACATGGTGTTTATTCCCCAGTGTTAGATTCATTATGTCTGGGGTGTGCAATTAAAACCAAAATGCAGTCAGCCTTGGGAGCCACCAAGTGCAATGTGCTTTCCCAGTCAGCCAGGGGACTGGAAACAAAAACTCGAAAACATGTCACTGTCAGTCCTGTTTCTAATAACACAGCTGAGATACTTCCTTTGTTTAATATAACCGAAGGCCGTTCGGCAAAGGCTCAATGACAAGTATATTTGACAAGTGTGCATGCAGCTCTGGAACAAAAGACAGTGAAGAAGGTGGCTTATTTGAAAGACGTGAACAGAAAGTGTGGGTTAAAGAGCCCAGGCAGTTTCTAACCTTGAGGAAAAGGTGTTGTAATCCACTGAGTATTTCAGTCAAGTGGAGGTAGGATCAACTGTCTAGGAAAATGCCTATGACTTCTTAGTCTGTATATTCACTAACTTACAAAGTCTAATCAAACCACGATTGCCTTTATACACAAAGAACTTCCAACAAGTCACCGCAGAGGACATAGATTTTATGTCCCAGTAACAGCACCAGCCAGCACAGCAGAAACCCTTAAGTGTGATCACGAAAGCTTTATTTTCCAAAATAGTAATTTTTAAAGAACACAAAGAATACACATTAAACGGAGGCCATCTGGTATACCTTCTGCTTAGAGCCTTTTAGAGCAAACTTGTTCTGTGTGTGGAAAATATTATTGCAATATTCTTCTCTCTAAACACACTCATGCTATGCATACAGAGAAAATTATCAGGAAGACAAAAATATATATTTAAGTAGGGAATATATGTAGTGGGTGATTATCAATTTATGAAGTTTTTCAGTTGAGGAAATCATTTTTCCCCCTTGCCATTAAGAAACATTAGAGAATTTATACACCTTGTAACCAAAGGTAGAAAGGAACAGGGAATATATGAAATTAATTCATTAAGCTTATTTATGATTAATTTCTCTGACTGAAACTGTTAATAACAACAACAAACCCTGAAGGTTAAAACTTGTGGCTGATTGGTATTACCGCCCCTGGTGTAGTCACATTATCTCCACAAAAAACCAACACGAGTAACTGGAAGTTGTTTTATTTCCAAAGTAACAATTTTATAAGGCAAGTGAACTTTAATTTAGCTGACAGTCATTACTTACCAAAGGTATAGCAGACCAAAGGAGATGAAAAGGTACATAAAGTGATGAAATTCTCTTATTTTGGCATAGCATTAAAACAGCTTTCCAATAGTTATGGCAATAATTAACAAGCCAGCTACGAGACAGCTGAACAAGTGTACATTTGCATACAGTCACCCAGGGTAGAAGCCCAGAATACCTTTACGTCCCATTCACACAGGAACATCCTACACCCAGGATGAATGGGCTCGGTGTCCCACACCACTTATCCCCACTCTTCATAGGGTCTCAGCTGGAATAACTGCCCCATGCTTGCCCCTTCTGTCTTTAATCCCTCTCTTTTCTGGTCTTCTCTCATCTTTGTACTGGTACAGAGCGTCCTAAAAGAAACTGTTCACATATTGCATTCCTATGTAAGATATCCTACTCTCTAATTTCATCATCCTCCAGACACCTCTGAGCTGTGTTAAACGGTCTGTGGTTTAAGATGGCAACTCTTCAAGAAGGGTCAAGGAAAATGGAGTTATCATGATGCATCACCATATTTCATTTACTCTAATTCTTCCATTATTTGTTACTTTTCATCTTGCTGTCTGTCTGACACCTCCGTGTCGCTGCATCCCCAGATGAGTTCCTAATCCGCTACTGCAGTCTCTACTCTGTATGTGCTGCCATCTCAAAAACAGCGCCGCAGCTCATGTAATTGCTGCAGCCAAAACTCTGGAGCCATCCTTGAGTAGAACACCAATCTACTATGCGCACGTCATACTGTTTCTTGATCCATCTAACCACTCACCAACACTTAAGAGTCTCAGGTAAACAGTCGCTCGCTTAACTCTGTGACAAACTCTCACTGAGCATTACTCCTATCCCCAGAGTCATTCATCAGGAGTCAGAATGGAAGATTTCTTTAAAAAGATCAGAAAGAGCAGAGACTGGGGGAATGGCCAAACAATGCCTGGCCCAAACCAAAGACCCAGAGCCAACCCCTGACACTATGAACGATCCTCTGCTAAGCTTGCAGACAGGAGTCTGTCAGAGTTGTCCTTTGAGAGGCTCTACCCACAGTGCCTCAAAACAGATGCTGAGACTTCTAGACAAACATCGAGCAATGCTTAGGGAGTCTTGTGGAAGAGTGGGAGGAAAGACAACAGGACCTGGAGGTGACAGGAGCTCCACAAGAAGAGTTAAACAGGGCCAACTAACCAGGGCCCAGAAGGATTTGCTGAGACAGAAGGATTTGCTGAGACTGAAGCATTGGCCAATGACCATGCATAAATGGCCGTAGGCCTTCTTCAAAGAGGGAGCAGATGGGCAGCATAGGCCTCATGTGGGTCCTGAGTAAGAGAAGTGGGGCTGCATCGGGCAAGGACTCCCTTGGCAGCTTTTGATCACTTCCCGTTTGTGGGACTGCCTTGCTAGGCCACAGGGAAAGAGGACAAGCTCAGTCCTGGTGTAACTTGATGAGCTGGAGTGGATGGGAAAGGGAGCTCCCTTTTCTGAAGAATAGGCATGGGGGAGGGGGACGTGAGGAGGGAGAGAGACAGAGTGGGACTGTGAGGGGAGGAGCGATGAGGCTACAAGCATGATGTAAACTGAATAAAAAGATAATAAATAAAAATATAAATGGGATCACTCTATTTTAAAGTTTGAGTCACTTACCGTCATGCTTAGAATAATGTGCACATATATAAATACATTCTTTATATACTATGACCTAAGGCCCCACATTACCAGGCCCTAGGGGTTCTCTCACTCATTCAGCCTCCCTGCCTCGGTGAGACAGCACACCTTGAGCATACCAAGCTCGGCCTTCTAAGGGGATCTTCAATGATCAGTGCCTGGGTGTCTGGAACACAGTGTCTCATGTTCTAGATCATAGGCCTCTTCACTTTATGCACACATCCATTCCTTTGTGCTCTTACCCTCACTGGCACAGAACATGATTCTTATTCACTCTTTTTCATTAATTTGGTTCTTTTTCTTCACAGGATTAATAACTGATTGGCAATGGTAAAGCATATGTCTTCTTTTGCATGTGTTTGTTTGGGGGTTCTGTTGTTGATTTTTATAATTTCTTCCACTAAAGTACAGACTTTGGGACATATGCTATATGAGGGCAGAGAGCTTGTCTATTTTTGCATCACTCTATCCTCAACAGGTCAAGCCATTCTTTCCTGATGCCTAGTAGATGCTTAATTAACAGTTCACGTAAAACTATACGTCTTCAAGAAGTCAAGTCATAGCTATTAACTAGACATATACACAGGCCACTTGTAGTGTAGGCCATTTGTAGATCCTAAAAATACCACTACAGCCATCAAACTCCTATCACAGGTCTACAGAGTTAACATCAATCATGATACCTTATTATAAGACAACATATGAAAAAACTGTGTTTTTCTTTTCTTTTTTCTTTCTCTTTCTCTCTCTCTCTTTTTTTGCTGTAAACTGTCTAGGTGAAAGCCCAACACAGTTTATAAAAATAAGATTTTCTCAAATTTTAAACTAATGGTTTCTCCCTTGAGAACTTAACGAAAATATACTGCTCCCTAAGTGCTGAGAAATGGGGGAAAATGACAAAAAATCACTTACCTCCCTTTCTCTACCAAGAGTAACACATCTAATTTTTCCCCATTTTGAACCATCGTGCTGACTGCTGCAGAGACAAAAGAAAGAATGTTTCTCTTTAGTGTTCAAATATGCACAGATACACACTTAACATAACCTAGACACACGTCTGGGGAGAAGCCTCCAAACTCCCTGTGAAGTGGGCATCACCACATGCAATGGCGAGCGCTGTCCAACAAGGGGCAGGGATCCCCTTACTTAGCTCCTGCAGTCTTCGAAGGTGCATCCTGTCTTCCTGAGCTTCTTGCGTTTGAAGGCAAAAGTACAAACTAGACTTGTCCATAGCAAACCAGCCTTTTCTCCACTGGTCCAGGGCATGGCAGTCTTTGTAGAAGAGTTGACCAATCAAATCATAGTCAGCTTCTGTTAAGTTTTCAGCAACAAAGGGAACAAAATGCTGTTAAAACAAATACAGAAGAGTAAGAAAGACAGTGAAAATAGGAAAGCCCTTCCCTATCTATTGATAGAGGGAAACTAGAAAAGTTACATTTGTTTACCTATTTTAAAGACTCCTTTTTATTTATTTATTTATCTATTTATTTGTCTGTTTATCTATCTATTTATTTATTTGTTTGTTTGTTTTTATTTTAATCACAGGTCATTCACTTGTATCCCAGCTGTAGCCCCTTCCCTCTTTCCCTCCCAATCCCACCCTCCCAAAGACTCCTAAGTAAATACCAAACTCAAAAAATTAGTTAAAAACTATGAGATTTAAAGCAAATGGTTAATGTATGTTTTTCAGCACCAGTACCATACGCTTTCTATTCTTAGTATGCACAGAAAGCAAGAAATTTTCTTTCTTAGTTTGTGAAATCTTTAGAAAGGTCAGGCTCCCATGTGAGCTCTGGGTCTGTTCCTTTCCTCGTGTACATTAGGGTAAGTAACATATCCATAAGAAGGCATGGAGTAAAAAATGACTTTAAAATATGAAGACTACCTTAATAATCATAAAAAGGAATTAGCTTGTAGAAACCATTTTTGGAAAAGTTCTACATAAATTTCTTGTCTGTTTCAGGCCCTAGAAAGTCTGTTTTTAACCTTTCGTAATGGCCAACTTTGAAAACATGAAAAACTTTCTTCCTAAAATTATAACTAAAATGTTTATGAACCTTTGAAAGTCAACTACAGAACACAAGTTAAATATCTTCCCTGGACTTAAGAGACTATAAAATTTAAATACCTTGGCTATAGTTTCTGTCCATTTTCTTTGAATCTGAGATGTTTCAGCTCCAAACAAAAAGACACGTTCCGAAGGTAAGTAGATCTCAAAGACAAAGATCGGCCTGCAGCAACCACAAATAAAAAGACCCACCACTAAGAATAATACTCACTTATAAGTGGATATTAGACATATAGGATAATAATACTAAAATCTGTACACAGAAAGAAGCAAATCAATAAGGAGGACCCAGGGTAAGATGCTCAATTTTCATGCAAAATGGCAAAGTAGAAGGAAATCAGAAGAGGGAGAAAACAGGGAACAGGACAGGAGCCTACACAGAGGGCCTCTGAAAGACTCTACCTAGCAGGGTATCAAAGCAGATGCTGAGATTCATAACCAAACTTTGGGCAGAGTGCAGGGAATCTTATGAAAGTAGGGGGAGATAGTGGGACCTGGAGAGGACAGGAGCTCCACAAGGAGAGCAACAGAACCAGAAAATATGGGCACAGGGGTCTTCTGTGAGACTGATACTCCAACCAAGGACCATGTATAGAGATAACCTAGAACCCCTGCACAGTTGTAGCCCATGGCAGCTCAGTGTCCAAGAGCTGAGTAATTGGAATAGGAGCTCTCTCTGACATGAATTCAGGGGCTGGCTCTTTCATCACCACCACCTGAGGAGGGAGCAGCCTTACCAGTCCACAGAGAAAGACAATGAAGCCAGTCCTTATGAGACTGGATAGACTAGGGTCAGATGGAAGGGGAAAAGGACTTCCCCTATCAGTGGACTCAGAGAGGAGCATAGGAGAAGAAGAGGGAGGGAAGGTGGTATTGGGAGGGGATAGATGAGGGGGCTGCAGCTGGGATGTAAAGTGAATAAACTGTAATTAATAAAAATTAAAAAAGAATAATTCACCTTGAAAGTTTAAAAAATCAAAGGAAAATCAAATTAATAATTAGTTTATGCAACATCAACAAATATTTAATTAAAAAAAAAGCACCTTCCATTATGACTTTAAAGTAGTAGAACATACTGGTTAGATGTAAAAATGAAAAAGGAGTTTACATTATTTAATATAAATAACATCATTGCAAATCTCTTCTCTCAAAAAAAATTACTAAAATCTCTGTTCCTGAGACTACCTTTGATTTTAATGTTTATAAATTTTCATTAACTGTACTATAAAACAGAGTAAGATACGTTCACATCAGCATCTCTCAGGTTGTTTCTAAAACAACCTCTGAGGCTCATTCCCTCCGAGGCTCATTCCAGTTTTTAAATAAGTAAAAGACATTACATAAATGATTCTTACTGTTTCCACATTTTCAGACCACCCAAGTACCCAAATGTATCTTGAGATTTTTCTTTGAATTTGCTATTTAATACGTTTGAGGGTTGTGGATGTAGCTCAATGGGAGAGTGCTTACCTGATGAACTTGATATTTTGTTTACTTTAATATGAGCCAATAATCACAGAACCTTCTTTCTCATCTGTTTTATATATGACGCCCTTTAAACAAATATATGACTTTTGCTTTTAGCCCACTATTTAAATTAATCATAGAAACAAAAGCACTTCAATGATCAACAATGGAATGTAATACTATTAACTACGTTTTAGAAAATTTCCTGCGGAGGTTTCAAATAAAATAAACTGGATTAATGACACCATAGAACCTTTTAATAGGAAACAATGGAAGAACATGAAAGATAACTAAATCCCCATCACCTGTTACAGTGAATACTAGTCCCTTTCATCTCCCAAACAGGGCAGACCTACCCAGTATTCAAATAGAAGTCTTCTTTATGGACAGCCAGGCAGATGACTTCACTGATGTTAATAGTGCCGTTAGGTGTGGTACACTTGTCATCTTCGTAGTAACTCAAGAAGCCACCTTCCAGAACACACCATTTTTTATTGGAATCTAAGAATTTAAAACAAAGCAAATAGAAAATGGAGTTATATATAAACCTTTCAAAATAAACCATGACTGCATTCAACTAAAGAAATGGACAAAATTCCCTATTTTAGATAAGGGACCTCGTAAGACAAAGTTGATACATACTTTTGCTTTCAAAAAATTATCATCTAACTATAAAGAATGTTCCAGACAAAAATGAATACGACATTGCTGACCAGAAAAACACACCAACTCATAAAGTGAAAAAATGAAAAACAACTCTGGAGTCACAAAGACTGAAGTCTGCACAGAGTATTATGAGCAGAACAAAAGTAGAACAAAAAATAAAACCAAATCCATTGATTCAGAAGGATGTAAAAGAAGAAACTGCAATGTCCATAGTGTCCTCTTTAGGAGTTTTAAACTACTTTTAATACAGGGGTCAGCACATGAAGGACAGAGGCCAAAACAGACCACCATCATCTGGAAAACCAAAGTTTTATCGATACATAGTGATACTAGTTTCTTGTGGATGGCCTGCAGCTCACTTGCCATTACAAGGTAGTTCTATTTACATTAGAAAGGAGGGCTTGAAGAGAATATGTCCTGTAGCTTGATCATCTGTATTACATCACTTGCTTTAGAAATGGGCCAGAGGTCAGACAAGCTAGGCAATGAGGGGAAAAGCCTGTCATTCTTGTTGATTTGGGAAGCAATGAAAGATAGTGAAATTCTGTCTACTCCAGAGAGCCCCTCTCTGCTACAGAAACCAAACCATTAGAGCAGATTTTGTAAGATGTACACCAAAATGAAAGACCATATAACAGGTAACTCTGAGGATGTGGCTTAATTAACAGACAGGAGTTAGTATGTGAGCCGAAAGAGGAGGCTTTTAATTTCTCTTCAGATGTGATGTTTGGGGCAAGGAAGACAAACCTTCATGTCGTAATTATCTAAACCCTGTGTATAATTCCACAGGCAATGTAGCTCAGCAGCCCACAGAGTGATATGGTGTTCTGATTTAGAACTGGGCTTGTCAACTGACGCATGGAGGACAATGCACCTGAACCAGAGGCTTACAGGGATCCAGAAGGCACCGTGCTCACCGTGAGCCCTTGAAAGCCCCATTTCCATCAGCCTTCTCATGTCCACATGCCATGCATGTTCTAATTATATGCATGGATCCACTGACCTGCAGAAAGGCATGCCTGTGCCTAACCACCGACCTGGACACTTTTCATAGGTAGAGAGAAGCTAACTAACCTTCTGCAGGTCACATGAATAGTTATTATATGAGGGAGGAAGAATCCAAACAGGTTCCTTTTGGAAGGTACCCTTTAACCCCTGAGCAAAACACCTACATGCTTATTACAGTTCCACCATATAACTACCACTTCCAGTGTATCAAAGCAGAGAGTTCCCATATTCTACGCTGTGTGCACACAATAAATCTGAAGGAGGTATGGAAACACTATCATTTTCTAAAACCATGAAGTCATCTTTCAAATTTCCTAAAGTGATGATACTCAGCTTCTGCTTGTGATAGGAATATGTATCAGTAATTGTTTCATTTTAAAAAAATATGCTTTGGTCTTGAAAACATATTTTTAAAGTAAAACAACTTAGGCTTTTCCTAGAAAAAAAAATCCTTGTTAGTGTATGAAATTAATTATGAACAGAATGAATAGAGGACTGTCCGGTTAACCCCTTCCTTTTTAGAAAGCAAAGGCTGCACGAACTAATCAAAGCCCGATACTAGGGGAAACACACTGGGCTGAGGAGGGGAAAAGGAAAACAAGACCAGGGTGCTATTATTCAGCTCTGTGGAGAGGTTTAACAAGGGCTATCAATCTTTCTTTTCATGAACACTAAACCGAGAAAAGAAAAAGCAAAATACAGATCTGTCTTCATAAGCAAGAGCTCCATGGACCTGAGATGGGCAAAAGCTGGACAGACAATGAGAAAGCTCCGAGACTCTGGAGAATGCGTGCATTTCATTCCTAGACTCCTTTGTTTTTAATCATTTTGTTTCCAGTTCTGTGCTGACAAGGGCTGACGGAGTGGAACTGTCCGGTGCTTGCCTTTCAGAGACAAAGGTGACAGGCACACTTTAATCTCTACGTCTTTCCAAACAATTCATTTTTTCCCTATAAAGCTGGCATTCAGCAACAGTAGCAGTATTGCTGGATCTTGAGAGGGCTAAGAATCAGGCCCAGAAACACGATTCTTCTGAGTTTAGCTTGTGCTACTTGGGGCAGCTCTTTCCTAACAAAATACGCTTTATGCCAGCAACTGTATCCTTTAATTGGGAAGTTTCCCCATTTCTCTGTGGTAGTGGGGATATGAATGACAAGACTCTCACTGCCTGAAACTCAGAAAATACTTAAACCCAAATATCCTGTTTTCTAATGTGCATATGAAGTTCAAATAAAAAATTAATTGTTATAGAAAATGAACAATATCTAATAATACAACTATGAAATACATTAATATGTAGATAAATTTATTCATTTCTAGGATATTATTCATTTAATTTTTTAATCTTAGTTGACTACTGATAAATCAAACTCTAATGAATCACTGGCTTATGATCAAACCACACGTACAATCAAAGACTTAAAGAGATCTGATGAGCCTACTATTAGTTCAGGCAATAGTTTGTTATATTGAAAAACTTAAAATTTTCTATTTCAAATTCTTGACTTGATATTTGTACTAAATTAAAGACTGAAAGGAGCTCTATAATAATCTAGAAATCAGAAAAATTATTGGCAAGTACTTTGTTTTTGGTATTATGCAAAAGTTTAGTAATTGTTATGATTGATTGATGGGTTTCTCCTGCAAACCTTTTAAAAAGCTTGTCACTTATTACACCTTAGGCCAAGGAAAAGATAACAATGAGAATCAATGCATTATTGGAAAAAACCAATGTAAGTTTAAAGCAGATTGATATTCCTTTCTACTCTCCCTTCAGATTGCTATCAGGATGAAATGGCTACAACACAGAATTGAAATATTGAACGGCTCCTTCCTTCTTCCTGTGAAAACTACATAACATTATTTTGGTCTAGTCTTTTTATGTGGCCACCAATTACTGAGCACAAAGTCCTTAAAGCAGGGCCTGACACGATAATTTTTTTTTTTTTCAGAAAAATCTAATGATGCAGTTTAACCTTAACTTTGTTTGTGGTATTATGCAAATTTAATAAAATAAAGCTTAAACATACTTTATCAATATATCTGAAATTAAAAGTGTTACAAACATCTGAAAAAAATTCAGTTAAGATTCAAATTCCCCAAATTTAGAATTTTAGATTTGAGATTGTTTTGGATTAGGAACATTTAATTGTTAAAGGCTATGAAAATATTACCAAATACAAACAAACAAAAAGTGAAATCTGAAATAATTCTGGTCTGAAGCATCCTACAAAGAATTTACAGTAAAATAATCCCTACAGATAAACATAAGTTGGGTGTTTTTATTAATTACAGTTTATTCACTTTGTAGCCCTGTACCTCCCTCCTTCCTCCCCTCCCAATCCCTCCCTCCCTCTTGCCCACAGGTGTCTCTCCCAGTCCCCTGATAGGAAAGGTCCTCCTCCCCATCCCTCTGATCCTAGTCTATCAGGTCTCAGCAGGAGTGGCTGCATTGTCTTCTTCTGTGGCCTAGTAAGGCTGTTCCCCCTCAGGGGGAGGTGATCAAAGAGCAGGCCAATCAGTTCCTGTCAGAGACAGTCCCTCTTCCCATTACTATGGAATCCACTTGGATACTGAACTGCTCTGTGCAGGGGTTCCAGGCTATATCCATGAGTGGTCCTTGGCTGGAGTATCAGTTTCAGAAAAGACCCCTGTGCCCAGACTTTTTGGATCTGTTGCTGTCCTTGTGGAGCTCCTGTCCTCTCCAGGTCTTACTATTTCCCACTTCCTTCATAAGATTCCCTGCACTCTGCCATTTTATCCAGAAACACAATCTACAAATAGCAGAAAGGATACCTTCAAGGAGCCGTTTCTCTGTAGAGACTCTTGAAGCGGAGGTAGGAGCCTGATACAGGAAGTCACAGAGGAAGGTGGACTGGGAAGCCTCCTGACTCGACCCACCCTCAGAATGAGTGTCATGCTGAGGGAAATCTAGAAAAGTCAAAGCGATTTCACACATGAATACTAAACATCATAAGGTTCTCCTTTGTTTAGGAACTGTGACAAAGTTTTGAACTAGAAGAAAACTAGGTCCTGGTTTATGACCAAATAAATAGAGATTTCACTTTGCATAAAGTTTTCAAGAAAGCACCCAAGCCATACTTGTTATTCAAATATGAAAACCAGATTCAATTTTGGAAGAAATGATTATGTAGGATTAAGTATTTTAATCTTCCATTTATAAGATTAAAGGACTATAAAAGATATGAATCCTACATCTTTTTTACTGTAAAGCAGTACTTTAGTAATTTTGCATTTTTCATGGTCTAAAATTAATGTATTTGTACTTTTTTTTTTCCAGGGATATATGTGAAGAGAGCGGTCAGTACAGGTGATGGACAAACCTGAGAACTTGTTATGGTAGAGGAATTCCATCTGCAGCGTCTGCCCAGCCTTCTTGGCCAGCAGGTAAGGGGTACTGTGCACAGGGTCTCCTGTGGCACACATGACATCAGCTCCACTGAAGAGCAGGGCCATCGTCTCCAGCACATCCGGCTTCACTACCGCAGCACACAGAGCCTGGCCAGTGACAGAACATACAGCATTCACAGGAGGTGAATGGGAGCCCGGCTCTTCATAGAAATGCTTGTCCAACAATGTGCTAAGGAAGTGTGCATTTCTTTTTTCCAATATTAATAAAATGTATGACTTGAATCAGGCAGTAGGTACCAAGGTCCACTATGTATGGGGTAAAGTTATAAGTCAAGGCCTCAAGGTCTCAGTTCTATGATGTTCTGTTTCTGAACCTTCCAATCCATCATAGATGCTCTAAAACACTTGTGATAATATTACATAACAGCTGATGCTCAGAAGTTTAAAACATTTCAAATGCCATAATAAAGGGTCCACTGAACGATCTATACTGAGTGTTTATATACATCAATAAATAGCATTTCAATCCACGCATAGTGCTATATTTTATTCACCTTATTTAACTCGTCTTTGGTCAGAGATGCTAAAAGAGTCTTTCTGAATTTTCCTTCTTTGTATTTCTGGGTAATAAAGGTTTTTCTCTTTTCAACTGGTGCATCCATCTGTAACTCTTCATCCTTTTGAAGGTTACCAGCCCAAAAGTCATTTGCTCTCTTGTTTCCAATGACAATAAATAGCTAAAATGGAAAAGGAAAAAAATGTGTAATTTCATTAAATGCTCTTAAAGCTTCAAAATTGATTAACATTCTAAACTAAACCCTAATTCAATATAAAATGTAGAAGAAAGCTTGAAAGCCTGAACTCTCAAGGCATCAGCTGGGAAACCAAATGCAATGAAAGTAACCTTACTCTTCAAACTCATAGTGAAACAAACAAGCTCATTAAAACAGTTGTGCAGATGGTATGTCTCAATGAGAAAAACTAGAAAAGGAGAGGAAATGGAGACAAGAAACAGGGAGTAGACCTGGTGAGTGAATGACCAAGCTTACCCCAGCTTCTTCTTCTTCTTTTTTTTTTTTGTCAGCTTTTTCCTTTCATTCCCCTTTCTAATACTTTTCCATTCAGGTTAAAATAAGAAACCAAGTTCTCACTTTCATCAGAGTTGTCACAGCTTTACATCTCTAAGTATCATTAAAGTTCTCTGTAGTGTTTGTTTTAAAAATAACTATCTAATTTGGGAAGCTATATGCCATTTTCATAGCACAGTGAGAACTTCCTCTAAGAATGTCTTCACAAGAGTAACTGATGGCCACTGCCCACCACTGCCCACCAACCTCACCCTGCTTGCGTTCACTCTGCCTAGCAGACAGGTCTTACCTCAATGAGCTCATTGCTCCAAATACTGGCATCCATTTTCAGACTTCTAACTTTAGAGTCTTTCGGTCCCAGAGATCTATGTTGTCCTGAACAACGAGACAAGTATATTTCAATTTTAATTTGACTGTGAATTTATGTTATCTTATTTAAAAAAAATGTACAGGAGGGCTAGGACTATAGCTGAAGGGCTTGTCCATATGTATGAGACCTTACATTCATTTCCCAGCAATCCCTTCCCTCCCCAATCGCCATACATTGCTGTGTAGGTGAGGGATGGAGAGATAATTCAGTCAGGAAGGTATTTTCATTGCACGTAAAGACCTGAACTCCGTCTCTGAAAACCACACAGAAATAGCCTGGTGGTATGTGTCTGTAGCCCTGGTGCTGGGGAGGCAGAGGGCCCTTTGGACCTGGTGTCCAGCCAAACTAGCCTACCACACAATGTCTAGGTTAGTGAGAGGACTTGTCTCACAAAAATAACTAGCTAGCAAACTAAGTGACTAAACGTAGCCGGTACTGGAGGGATACCACGAAAAGGCTGTCTTTCAAACTCCAGATGAACATACATATGTGTCATATCCACTACACGTGTGTACCTGCTTAAATACACACATGCACACACACTATTTATTCATATGTATAACATCAATTTGCAGAATCCCAGAAACTACTCTCCTAAATACCAAAACCATTAAGAATATTTCTGGTGATTATGCAAAAAAAGGCATAACTAACTAAAGTGGGTTAATATTTACTGTTTAAAAAAATTAGGTTTTTTACAATCATGTACTGCCATAAAACTATACTTTAGGAAGAATATTGTGTGTGTGTTCATGGGTGGTGTGGTGTGTGTGTGGTGTGTGTGTGTGTGTGTGTGTGTGTGCGCGCACGCTTGCCCGTTTGATCACCGAACCTGTTTTTTCGCCTCTTGACAGTATGGGAATGAACCTAGGCCTTTGTACCTGCTAGAAGTGTTCTACAAACAAGTCAAACTTTATGGTCAGTTAAATCTCATGCATATAAATATTGCAATCAATACCAGACAATCTAGTAATGACAATTAACAAAACAAGCACGAGGATCTGACGTGGATTTTCTGTCCTACTGCTTTCCTCTTAAGAAAGGGATGAGAGAATTATATCAGTATCAGGTGTGCACTGTAAATCAACTGATACTTAAGTGTATCTCAAAACTAAGCTGAAATGAAAACCATCTATATAAGAACTTTCATTGAGCTTGAGACACTATGTTTAGGAACAGCAATGACTCTTCATTGTGTACTATACTAAATCAGAGGCTTTTTCTTCCTTTATTGAAGAGATGAAAATACTTTAGGGCACAAAGTCCCGTAGCAGGAGTTCACATTCTACGAACTTTTAATTATGACCGGAAGGCAGCATTAGACACCTGGGAGTTGCAGACAGAGAGGCTAAAGCATCCTATGCTAGCAAGAACAGAGAACAGAGAAGCCCAGGGAACCAGAGAGTCAGCTCAGCACTTAAGAAAACTGGCTGCTCTTCTAGAGGACCAGGGTTCAATTTCCCACCGGGTGCCTCACAGCCATCTGCAGATGTAGTTTCAAAGGACCCTACGGCCTTTCCTGGCCTCCACGGGCACCAGGCATACACACGCTCATAGACATATATGCAGGCAAAATAACAATACTGATAAAAAAAATAGATAGAATATCTGAGCTTTAACTGGAGGCAAGAGAACTGGACAGAAATAGGAACTGCAGTGAGATGCCATGGACTTTCCAGAAAGCCTGAGCCAATGATCCCTTTCATTCCAGGCCTGAGTGCACGGCAGGCAACACAACGTCTCCCCAGTGTAGAACCAAGTGGAAACGTGCAGGGTTATGCACTGGGCTGGAGGCAGCAATGGCATGTGAGTTCTTTAGTATCTCTGGAAAAACTGATCAGAGATTCTCAGAGGGAGTGGAAATCATCTTTAAAAAGTGAGTGCTAGGTTCCAGTCGAGAGAAAAACTGAGAACTGAAAACAGAGCCAAAGACACACCTGGACTTCAGCAGCATGAAGTGGTGAGGTTACCTAAGCACGGCTGACAACCAGAGAGACAGCACGGCAGCAGCGTTTACTGGAGTTGAGGAGGACTGTCACCAAAGAGAGACTTACTAGCCACAGATCGCAAACATTACAGAGTAGACAAATACGCACAGAACAAACGGAGACTGCAAGGCCAAATACACTGGTAAATGCAGTGTAAACACTTGTACTGGTTGAACAAGGAGAAGGCTGATTACAAAGGGACGAAGGAAAACGAAGTTAAAGAAAGGAAGAAAACCTGTGCCCAGCAGAGTCAGGAGATCACCTTGACCTCGAAAGGAGAAAACGAGCAGACAGTGATGCAAAGAAGGCACTAAAGCTCAGTGTTAACAAAACAGTCTGATGCAAGCTTACATGATGAAACCAACACTAGTTTAAATACTCAAGAGACTAGGTAAGTGATTAACCGATCCTGAGGAGAAAAGAAATAAATGGAGCACAAGAGGAAGAGTGAGGAGCAAAACAAAGCTCTCTCCCAGTGAGATGGGAGAGGAAAGCAGAAGGGAGGCAACACTAAACAGAGGATCATGGCAGGGCTGATTTTTTCTGGCACTGCAACATTAATTTAGTGGTGAGAAAAGCTACTTTAGTGCCATTAGAAATGGAACACAACAGAAGTCCAGAAAATGCCTAGGTTCTAGACCGCTGCTGCAGCTCTACTGTCTCTGCTTAAGCGCGGTCAGAAGCTCCTGTCCTATATGGTCCCCAGCCTGGCAGCCAACTTCAATTTTGCTCTGATCACCCTTGCAATAGTGATTTCTGTATCTGTTGAACTTTGTCATACAGCTTCCTACCTGTGCAGAACTGCATCGGAACTGGTGTTCCAGGTAAAATCCATGCATGCATGCATGCGTGTGTGTTTGTGAGAGAGAGGGGGGGAGAGAGAGACAGAGAGAGTTTGAGTTGGGGGTATCTGTAGGAGGCAAGGAGGCAAGGAAGGGAGGGGGGAGTGGCTGGAAGATAGAAACTGACTACATTTCTCCAAGTCCTCCCTGAACCTCACGAGACATTTCAGTGAACCAGGGTCCACTTCTATCCACACTCTTGGATATAGATCAGGGCTCACAGATGAACTGGAGATACCAGAGAGCCAGGCACAGGGTCACAAGAAGAACGGCATTCGTAGCAGTAGCTTTTTCACATAAGCATAAACTCAAGTGAGAAATACTTCACTTCAAATGCAAGCTATAGAAGATGTCAGGTCTGGCATACAAGCACAGTGTCTACAAGGTATTCAATGTAAAGAATCCACCTTGAAGCAATGGTTAGTTAGACCATAACTCAAAGTATTCATGCAAATATCCAAACCTCTTCTGGATGCATTCTAAACTTAAAAAAAAAAAACATTTAAACATGTTATTTTAAAAACACGGACCAGTAAACTCAAAATATTATTATATACTTAAAAATAAATTTCTATATCAGCTCCAATAGAATTGAAGATAGAATCGCGAGACGTTTCTGAAGGGACTTCCATTTAATAAGGTTTGCCTGCTTTCACTTTTCACAACCATTACCTAGGACACGCTGTGTTCCATAACAAAGATGAGTCAGTGCCAATCTGCCACCCAGCAGAGACGGGCCCAGCTCATCACTAATTACCTGCACACTTCTTGCAGATGACAACACAGAGATTGATGGACGCCCAGTCAGGGTCGGGGGCTTTACAGTCTGCACAGCTCCTGTTGGACTCATTGAACCAAATCTTCTCAGCTACTTCATAATCAGAGAGAGTTTCTGCTATTGACTGCTGCACAGCTTCAATCCACTCCTGTTTCTCTTTCTCAGACTCTGCTGTGAAGCTGAAACAATTAACATTTCTGCATTATTGATCTCTCTTGTACAGGCCAATTAAGCAGGATGTTCAGTTTGCATATTCATTTCAGCCACAAATTAAACAGCAAGTAAAATTGTGCCTGCTGGGCAGTATTGGATTGTCTTTTTCTATTAAAAATTATCTAATTTAACAAATCATTTTCTTTTTCTTTTGATTTTCCATAATGCTTATGGCCTTGTTCACATAACTTCAACCAAAATTAATGTGCTTATTATATCTGATCAAAATATACAGGAATTGCCTTGGTAGATCAAAACAAATGAGAGCTGTGTTTCTTAAGCAATGGATTATATAATAACCAAAAAAGAGACTGGCATGGTTCCAGGACTGCTGGAATATTTTACCAGGCAAGTATGACATCATATTCTAAAAGTAAAATTATCAAAAAAAAAAAAAAAAAAAAACACCCACCAGAAATTGTGATTTTTGTCAGATTTAAAAATGGAATTCTTTATATTAGAAGACTGGCCAGATGGCACTAAGAGATTGAGAAACAAGAAATGTTTTAAACAGTTACTATTTTAAAGGATTTCTAACTCAATTTTAGCCAGCTCTCACCATCTGATTTCTTGGTATTGGTGGGTTCTCTCACTCTCACTGAATGATAAAATATTAAACAGCAATGCTACCCTTAAAGAAAGATTTATTGATTGTTTACTATAGGTAATATCTAGCTATGTCACAATGACTCAGAACAAGAGCCACTGTAAGCTATCTGTCACTTTAAAATTTTGGTTCTATAAACTGTAATGAACTGACACGTTATGAAAATAATTGGTGGCAGATAATTGGTGGCTGACTATTCCAAATAGTCCAGAAAATGGGTGGCTTAAGGAAATCATGGTTTCGGAAGAACTCTATGATTCCATCACTACTCCACTATTCACAAAGTTCTTAGTGGCTTTAAGTTCTCCTAGAGGTTAGTTACAGCCAGCATTTGAATTCAGCTGAGACTGGGACCTATTTGTGTGTGTGTGTGTGTGTGTGTGTGCGTGTGTGTGTGTGTGTGTGTGTGATGTGCAGTTAGTGAGGGGGAGACAGGCCTTGCGTATGTTAGGCCAGGCCAGTGCAGTGCCCCTGAGCTACAACCCGAGCTCCAGATCTGCAAGGGTGAAATGAAAGTGTTTATTCTTTATTTGATAATTTTAATCAAGATTGGAGCCCACCTACATATTTTGAGAAACAAAACGTATGTGATACTCAGTATAAGAAATAATTAAAGCCACTCAAAGGTCTAAAGCAATTGCCTCTGACTTACAAACAACCTGGTGAGTGTCATTTGGGACAAATATAACAATGTAGCTGCACTCAGCAAATTGGCCCCTGTCTATAGCATACACTGAATCTATGGAATCACTGCTTATGATTAAAATGCTATGTACATTAGCTATTGCTTATTGTCATCATGCTGCAATTCCTCAGAGAGAACACATTTCATGCATAGAGCACGATGTTAAATATCTGAATCAGTGACTTCATGTGATCCATCAGAGCCAGCATGACGCTGAGCTGAGGCACTGGAAGAAACCACACGCAGCAACCATAACTAAAAGCCAATCTCAAAGTGGGATCCATTCGACTAGGCTAAAAGAAAAGCTGAAAACAATACCAGACTTCTTTTATTCCTTCTAAAATGTAAGAGAACTAACATATTCAACATTCTCAGTCTATAAACAAAGTACTAAAAGAAGAAGCAACCCAAGACACATGAAGAAAGTATCTTTGCCTGTTGCAGCTATTCAAGCCACTTACAGTGATTTCCTACATGATTCTAACTAGCCAATAAAGTGTAACCCCGTGAGCAGCGTTACAGAATGAACTGCCCAGGCCCCTCAGTACTCGTAAACACACACATGCACATGTTTACAAACAGCTTACCTGAAACTCCGGTATGGAGTGATTAACTCAAAAGATGGTTTCGCAGCTCGATCTACTCGCTTTACATTTGCAACATTCATGGGAATTACAGTAATACCAAGCCCACTCTTAAAATCCTAGGATGGAACAAAAATTCAGAACAACTTCAGAAAACACAACCATAGTGTCTTTGTTACCTGGAAGCTCCTAGAAAGGTTACTACGTGTGTGTGTGTGTGCGCAGGCTCACCTAGAAAGTGGAAAGATCAGTCCTCACAGTAGGGGGTCCTGTCCAGTGAACGATAACATGGAACCCGCCTAGGCTGCACTGAAAGTTGATGTCCTTCATAATGAAAGATAAGTTGACAAGGCAAAAACCTTCCTCATGCTACAACCCCTTCGTACAGTTCCTCATGTTGTGGTAACGACCAACTTTACATAAAAGTATTTCTGTGGCCACTTCATAATTGTAATTTTGTTAGTTTGAATTGTGATGTAAATATCTGATGTGCAGGATATCTTATAAGTGACTCCGTGAAAGGGTCACTAAAACCCCAAGGTTGCAACCCACAGGTTGAGAACCTGTGCTGCAGATACCTGTGCTTTGCTTTGAACTATAGTCACCTGTATCCAATCAACAGAGGAAACTAACAAAGCACCTTTGTCATGTGCCAAATATTCATTTCATAGAAGAGCCAAAGGGCATTATGAAATTATCGTAAATACCCTTAATATGAAAAAGTGGGCAAACAGAGGCTCAACAAGATGGTTATAAATGAAGCATACTTCGTCTTATATGATGGAAAGGAACTAAATATGTAGCTGTTGTTTTTTGTCCTTAATCCTGTTACACTGTCCCTGCTAAGGAAATGAGCTGCTCTTCATTTAAATGCAAAAGTGTTGCAGTTTTATCAATTGGACAAATTGACATTCCCAACATTCCAATCAGACTCCGAAAAACCTCCCCCAGTGCCAGCAGGGTATGAAAACAATTCTTTACTCAACACTGGAGACCACAGAGCTTACTATGCCCTGTTGAACATTAAAAACTGGGGGAACACATTCTAAAAGCATCAGTGTTTGCAATATTCTGCCTAGTCCCAGGGGCTTGCTAACTTAACAATAAATACTTTGCTAAATTACAACCTCAAAAAAGGAATGCTCTCGGTGAACAGATGTTTCCAGAGCTCCTCATTTGTGATGGAAAACAAACAAACAAACAAACACCTCCATACTGATGAAAATACAAACACAATGCTCCATTTTTTAATAAGGATAAGCAAAGATAATTTAGAAAAACTGGTAAGAGTGAAGACAATTCAAATGCCACCTCCTATTGTAACTGGTGTGTGGGGAGGGAGAGTACTGTGTGGTAAGTCCCATGTTAGCATTTCTGTTACACATAAGGCTGTATGTCCCACTGTTGACCCATGATGTAAAACAGCACATGTAAGGAAATGCAGATTCCTCTGCTAAGCAGAAAACCTCTCACTGCCTTCCTCCCATACTGTCTAGCAATGTCATCTGGAAACACAGAGGTCACATTAGAATTCGGCAGTCCTTGAAAAGTCTGTGTGCAAATGAGTGTGAAGACCCCTGCTCCTGCAAGCTTTGTGGCTCCTCTTCCTCACCCGGGTTCAGCCACAAGAAGTCACTGTCTCTTAGTTTTGCTGTAGGCCTTTGGGCTTGGAATTAATGAACTCTTATTTGATAAAACTACAACAAAACAAGTGTAGACTCGAACTTCCCATGTGTGTGTATGCATGTACCCAGGGAAATCGGTCACATACTGTAGAAGGGCATTTATTATTGACATTATCATTTATTTACTCTGCATGTTTGTGTGCATGTTTGTGGTCTGGGGTACGCATGACCTTCAGCAAGGATGGAGACCAGAGGAGGACACCAGGTGACCTCATCTATAACTCTCTGCCTTGGTGAGAGACAGGATATCGCACTGAACCGGGGGAGAAGCTGGCAGCAATCACACGCTGGCAGTTTTCCTGTTACCATTCTTCACAGTTCTGGAGCTACATGCACACGTGTGGACATGCCTGGCAGAGTTACATGTATATGTGGACATGCCTGGCAGAGTTACATGTATATATGGACATGCCTGGCAGAGTTACATGTATATATGGACATGCCTGGCTATAATATGAGTCCTAGTCCTAGGATCCTGACTCAGGTCTACATGCTTGACAGAAAGTACTCCTATATGCTGAGCCATCTCCCCAGCTCCTATTTGTTAGTTTTCAATGTGAAGGAGGTTTAGGTAAAATCAGAAAAATTATTTACTTAAAAAAATCAATAGAATATTATATTTTTCATAGAATAATAAATGGCACATACTGTTATGGTAGAGAGGCATGATTTGAGAATAAAGATTATAAAATTGCATTATAATCTCAAAAAATAAAAATAATATAAAAGCAAAAACACAATAAAACACTGATTACTGTTAAATAATTAAAATGGGGGAGGGGAGTGATATATTTCCATTGGTATAGTTAGACTAGGACGACCAGCATACCAAATGAAGGCACATCAAACTATTCTCATCAGCCAGGTTTTAACACGTTTTCACATATCAGCACAGGACCGACTTTACTTTGTTAATGGAAAATGCCAAATCCCAGTTATCCATGAAAAACCCTGCTGAATAACGCAACTGCTGGATCAACTCCCAAATGCTGTGCCTGGCACCTCAAGTCTGCTTTATAAATGAGAAGGTAAGATCAGAGGAGCAAAACGAGGTACCTGTCTAACCTTGATAGAGGGACGAACTCTACAGAAGCAATGTGCCTTCACCGAACGGCCAGCCTTCTAACAATTCTCCACAATGAGGCCCTTGACAAGAGATGGGTGCCTCCACTCCACAGTGAGAGGTGTCTGACCTGCACGTACTGCACGAAACTAAGTGCAAAGGCTCCTAATGCTTTGACCACCAGACTAGCAGATGGTGGCAATGACAGCCTGTTATGGGAACAGATGAGTCTCATCATCGCACCGGAATGGATGTGTCCTCATCTCTATACACGAGCCATAAAATCTCTACCTGTAAAGCTGCACTTCCTGGTAAAGTGAGGGCCTTCCCAGCAAGGGAAAGAGGATGTTTTCTTATCATGAAGAACTGTAACCGTTTATCAACTACCTGCCATGGCCATATGGTTCCAAGTAATTAGTGGTGCACACAGCTCACTAGCATCAACTGACTGTAAACTAGAGAGCAAAGTAACAAAATCAATGTCGGTGCTCTTGAGAGCTACCGAATGGGAAGCAATGGCATTGCTTATTAAGAATATTTTGGCGATATTTATCTGCCCTTCAGACTACTAGAACATGTTCAGACTACATCCCATTCCTGGGTGTTTGTCACAATTATCTGTGTCCATCTCTCTTTCCCATCCTGAGAATTAACACCACGGGAAAAAAAAAAGAACAGAACGCTAAATTAAAAGCCTTTAATTTAAGAAACTAAGAAGGGCTTGTAGGGTCAGCAATGCTCTCTATTTAATTTCCTTGTCCAACACATACTATCAGGAGGCAGGAGACACCACTAACAAGGATCACAGGCGTTGCTTAGCAGGCCCAGACACTGCAACTGTGCAAATGACCTGGCATGGACAGACTCAGGGAAGAAATCTGGCTAGATGAACATCAGCACGCTCCATGGCCTATCTAGACCTCAGTCACATCATCTGTAAATAGATTAATTCTACCTTTAAGTATAGTCGTAAGAATTAAATGAGATAATGTCAGCTAAGAGCTTAATATGTCCAGACAACTCTTTCATATACAGGCAGAATTTGTTATTCATACAATTTTCCATTTCATCTGCAATCACAGAGTGACTCTGTACTAAATATTCAGGAATAATTTATGACAAATATTGACCAAGATACTGAAATGAGTCGTTTAAACAAATTTATTCCAACGAGAGTCATTTTGAATTGATAAAACCGTACAGTGCAAAAGTAAAGTAAAATGCTGATCCCCAAAGAGAGAAATTAAAGTCTGTTAACCCCAAATCTGCTGAAATCTTAACCCTATTTTTAGAAATAGTGAATGCTCGGTTTTCCTGCCAGGAATTTAAGAACTCGGTGCCTAGACATTTGTGGAAAGTAGATGTGGCCTTGTACGACAGTGGCATCAGACTTGTGGGAAACACCAGATGCAGAGCCTGGCCAGACTAGAACCCAGAGAATGTGAGGTCACCACCTAGACCCTGTGGCTTCATCCTGTGCCACACAAACCAGGCCTTCGGGGGCCTATTTGAATTCTATTAGTATCACACATATCCCTCGTCTAAGCATCAGGGAACTTTACATCAGGAGGGATGGGGAGGAAAAAGCCTCTTGTTATACTCTGATTAGAGGATATTTAATCAAACTAGTTTATGCAGTTAAAGCTCCAGTGCCACAATCAGCATCAACCGGATGCCCAGTCCCACCAAGGAAGACATCTGGTTGTAATGAACTGCCTAATATTAGCATGATATTTTAAAAACTCATCAGGAAGAGATGGGGGCTATCAGGGAAACATAACAAATAAAAGACAAGGCTACTTTTCTTACATTTGCTTAACATCCATGTGCTCAAATTCCAACCAACTAGAAATATTACTATCTATAACTCCAGTTCCAGAAGAGACAACATACTCTTCTCGCTTCTTCACCTGATTATTTTAATTATGCAAATTTAAATACACACACACACAATAAGAAAATCTTTAAAAATTGAAGGATTAAACATCAGTGATTTTTTTAAAGATTTATTTTATGTATGTGTGTGTGAGAAAGATGAGGGAGGGAGGGAAGGAGGGACAGAGGGAAGGAGGGAAGGACAAAGTGAGAGAGAGAGAGAGAGAGAGAGAAAGAGAGAGAAAGAAAGAGAGAATATGTCACAAGAATGTGGGCCAGAGAGGGCATTGAATCTCCCTGGAGCTGGAATTACAGGTAGTTTTGAGCTACCAAAATGGATCCATCTCATTTTCTCTAAAGGAGCACAGGGACTCAAACTCAGGTCCTCTGGAAGAGCAGTACATGCTCTTAAATGCTGAGCAATCTCTCTACCACAGTAGATAGCATTTTAGATGAAATGGCCCTTCATGAGAAGGGTCCGAGGAAGTCTGTGTTT